AGTTTATTTAAAAAACCGAGAACTTTTATTTCTCATCATACTGGCCTACGCAAAAGCTTAAAATGTAATCGGATTTAATGACAAAATTTAAGTCCTTTTGATAGCATAATCATTAAAGTATGTGGTGGAGCAGCATTCTTTAATTTAGCTTTTTCCATTACGTTCTAAAAAAAGTTTATATTTGGGATTCAACTGCGCTGTCTGATGTGCGCATTTCAGAACATTTTCCCTGTTTCGTCTTTCTTCAACAGATCCGATTTTGTAAAAGATCGAAAAGTGTGGAAGAAATGTGCAATGAGCCTTCTGCCTCAGTATATGGTCCATAATCCAATACTGTTTGCTTCAATCCTTCACGAGTATGAGCCAGAAGAGCTGAATCCACATCCGGTAGAGTGGTTAAATTCTCTAGACAAAATGCTTGGTGACCTACATTTTACATGTAGTGTTAACGAGATTGCTCTTGCCAACAGCGAGCATGGAGGTAACATTTTACTGGAGATTAATACCGCTTCAAGATAATAGACATTACAGTACTCGTTTAGATTCTAAGAACATTGAAAAAATTCATGAATAAAATTATTTTAAACGTCATATGCAATTGCTCGGGCAGAATTTTGCTGCTGATACTCAGCCTCTTTAGGAACAACTTACTACTACTATTTTACGCATCGTGCAACGCAACAGACATGGCCAAAATGGATGGGTGTAGTGCATGGATACGAAATAAATTTTATTTTTGGAGAGCCGCTCAATGAAACCTTCAATTACACAGAGGAAGAGAAAAGTTTAAGTTGGCGTATGATGCACTACTGGGCTAACTTTGCCCGGACTGGGTATGTGCTGCTCTCATGTATCATTTAATTAAAAGTAGTGGTAAAATTAACAACTGTAATGCTAAAAAACTAAAAAATTTTAAAACTTTCAACAGTATTTGAGATAAGTTTTAGATTTGGCGCAGTTTTTTTACCTCTTATTTATCGCTGGTTTTTAAATAAAAAATAAAATACTTGAAGAAAACAACGAAGAATTATTTACTAACAACTGAAAAAATACATAACTCATCGATATGAAAACTTAGAAATCCGAATACGAATCCTGACGGAAGTCAATTTATGCTGGATTGGCCACTGTATACTAAAGCGACCATGCAGTATATGAATTTGACCGTGGATTCTGAGTATGATAGAGGGTCGAAATGGATTGGTACCGGTCCAAGAAGAAAACAATGTTCTTTTTGGCATAACCACATTCCCACATTATCTGCTGCAGTTGGTAATCTTTTGTTGCATACTGATTTTTAGTAAAATTTAACTCCAGTTACCAATACGATGTCAACTCAAAGGTTGTCATTGCTAGTGGCAAAGTTATAGATGCTAAAAACTGTTGTTGTCAAAAATATTGCTTTAAACAAACTGACTGCCTATCTTTAAGCCTTTTTTAATTTTTTGCGTACTATTTATTAAAAATATGTTGATGACGACTTAGTATATTCAGCTTTTCGTTCTTCTCTTTTTTTTTT